AACAGCTTTTTATCACATTTACACAACACTTTATGAATACAAGTCATGAGCAAATCTTAAATATGGCAATGAATGTGTTTACTTTTTTAGTTTTGATTTTGAGCAGCAAATTTGGAGTTACATATTGGTGTTCACTAGGAATGCATAAGCAAAATTGCACAAATTTTCACTTGAAAGAATAGTGAACAATCTTGGGATTTTTTTTCTGTTAAAGTTTCAAATAGTGTGTAAATTGAATACACTTCATCTTCAGCATGTTTCGTGCCACTTTTGTAAGTAACCACGCCCCGTCCAGGCCACGCCCCCGACCAGGCCACGCCCCTTCCGCTTTTTTCATCACTCGCCATTGCCATGTATGTAGTTTGCATTCAAAGAATCTCATGCTCATGACAAACCAAAATAATAATGATCATCATTTAAAAAAAAAAAGTCTAAATTTTTCCACAAACCCAGGTACATTATTTGTATGAAGAAAAAGTTTTCGGACTGATGTGGTGAAATGAGATAATTTCCCATGGCACACCTGATCTTCTCTCATAGCACAGAACATAACAAGGCTCAAGTACAGCTTTGTGACGTTGTCCGTATCCTTGTCCCCTTGTCTCTCTTGTCCTCTGTCTTTTCTCTGCAACCTCCTGTCAAAATTAGGCCCGGGTTCCTCAGCAGGCCATGGCTCTCATGTTAGCCGCTTCACAGGAAGCACATCCCAACATTCCCCCTGACACGCCGGCAGCAGCATTACCATAATTGGCTTTTCTACATGACGGGACAGAGGAAATAATAATGTCATTTTATTTACAGCCCTCTTGTCCCGGTCCGAGAGCAGTCACCCCTCCCCTCCAACCCTTCTCGCCGCCGCACTCTCTCTTCTATCTGCCATACAAAACTCCTCCTCTCTCTCTCTCTCTCTCTCTTTTTTTTTTTTTTTAAGTTTTTATTTTTTTTAATCTCATCTCCCTCTCCCCCACTATTCTCTCCGTGCGGCGTGCGGCTCATTCTGCCACAGCGTGTAGGTCAAGCGATGGCTTTTTGATCAGCTCCTGTCCAAAGCCATCAGTGTTGAGAGGCATGTAATGGAGAGCAGGGTGACAAACAGAATCTGGGGAAAGGAATAAGACTGCCAGTTTCCTATTAGGGGCCAGCCTAAACGGCCCGGGCCTGCAACCCTCCCCATCCCGCCGCACGACAACCACCTCCACCAGCCTTCTGCTCCGCAAACCCACTCTTGCACTGCCTAAATCACATGAGTGAAGGGACCTGTGATTGGACATTAGTGCTGCAAATGACTGCTGTGATTGCCCCCTCCTCGCAAACGCACATCAAATAAATAAAGAAATGTGTGCAAATAAATAGGAGAACGGGCGTTGGAGAAAAGGGGCTGGTGAGGAGAGGCTGACTGGTTTCATCTCTTTCTTTTCACTCTTGTTTCATCTCCTTTCTGCCTTTCTTATCTGGTTTGTTTGGCTTTGACAGCGGCCAAATGGTGAAGCTCTGCGAGCCTGACAGAGAGTGTTATTGATTTAACAACCAAGCAGACTCGCTGCAAAGAAGGGAGAAAGCAGGAAAAAACACGGATGGGTGGGAAAGAGATAGCAAAGTTTTGAAAAGGAGTGATGTGTTGCCGCTTGCCTCCTTGCCAAATTGCAGACGCGTACTCTGGTTGGATTCAATCTGGTAGCGTTTACAGAAATCAAGTTATAAAAAAAGTCACTACGTATGGGGGAGAATGTTTGAAAGATGCTCTCTACTTAGCCACTACCATGTTGTCACACTGCGAAGCCCAATTTTATACTGTATTGACACAGGATGAAGGGCGTTCTCTGCCAAATATAATACAAGTCTTTGTCTCCGTCCAGTCTGAACGGCCAGACTACCTGCTCTCTCCCCGGTCTTCTCTTTAAGAAGGTTTTTACAAAGCCGCAGAGCAGACTGTAAGGACAAATTTGTGACGATACCTCACACTGTAATATTCATAAGGGAAGTATTTTCTTCCCTTTTAGTTGAGAAAAGTAACACTTTTGTCTTTTAGCCTTGTATAGCCATTTAGCCTTTGGCCCAGTGTTTTGTAGCGTGAGAAAGGAGAACCTCCTTTATCGCTTTTATAATGCGTTGTGTTTTTCAAAGGCTCCTTTATGACATCCACAGGGGCTACTAAACCTTTTTTAGTCCTTCACATATTTGATGCCTCACTTTATTCAAAGCGTATCACCCATATGCATTGAACACCGTAGCTGAGCGATGCACTGAGATGCTAATATCTTGCTTGCCGTTGTTGTGAGAGTGGCTGGTGGCGGGGCTTGATCGCTGCAGTTTGTGACAGTGAGTCGTGGCACTCTCTTGGCCACGCTGCCGCCTGTCTCCTTGATGGCGGCACGTTCCCAAGCAAAAGTGACAAGCGCGTTGGTGCCCGTGCAGATGGCCCTGCTCACAGCCATCACCCTCTCTGCAAGTCAAACCGCCAGGGACGCCAGCCCTAGCCCACCCGGAGCCTGCCCCTTCCGACTGCGGTGACGTTGCATACGTGCGCCCAGCACACAAACCACGGGGGGTGGTGTTGGGGGCAAGGGAAGGAAGGGGGTTCAGATGACAGCGAGTGAAAGTCAAACATCTTCAAGCAGCAGTGATTGAGGCATCCACGTTTGATGGGTAGCTCTTAATATTTTTACCTCCTCATTGCCAATTCAGATTTCAGCATCCTGTCAGACGAGCATTTCAAAGGCGAGGCAGAGATCATTTATTTCAGGCTAACTTTAACTTCGTTTCATCACTAATGTACATTTATGGTTTGCAAAACAATCTGGATACTGCCTATGATTTTTACAGATGTCTCTCTGCCTGTCTTTTGTCTCTGTGCTTTTGATAGCTCCCTCTTTGTCGTTTCCATGACAACATGGTAGGACAGAAATTGATTGACAGGCATCGTCAAAGGGTTCCCTGGCAACCTGCTCATCGCTCAAAGCCCCTCCTTATTGCAGTCTGTGTTTTGTCACTCATCCACATATTTTTCGCTTTCTCTTTCCGACAATGTGATTTCTATATTTCCAACTACTGGGGTTTTGGCTATTTTTGTTCTGCAGCTGACGTGAGTGACTCAGCTAGGTTGTTCCACCAGTACAATCGGACTCGTGATGAATGGCTAGCCAGTCTGCAGGTTGCATTGTATATTAAATGGCTGATATGGATTGACATCCTCATGCTCTGGAAGCAGGTTGGTGCGGGAAGGCACCCTAACAGGAGACACTCTGCAGATGTGTTGTAGAGAATAGATCACATAATGCTAATCTGCTGTGTTAGGGATTTTCAGGAGTTTTAGAAACTGTCTCGGTCTCAGTCTGTCAGTGGGATTGAAGCGCAGCCAGGTTCTCCTGTAGTGCTCTCATTTCACTGAAATCCTGTCAAGCAGTGGGGTTCGGAGAGGGGGAGGTAAGTTGCTCATTTGGAGAAGGGTGTATCAGCAGCACACTCTCGATTTATAGACAATATTGTGGTCGGAGTCTCCTTTGCCCTGTAAGAGGAGCTAAGTATGCGCTGCATTGTGAAGGTGAGCGTGCAGGCCAACGTGCATTCCCAAACCGACGCGCTCAAACGCACATCATCACATCGTCACAGTGCATGGTGCAGCTGCTCACATCCCCCACCTCATCCACCCATCTCCTCTCAGGCAGCAGTAAATGGTGCCAGTGTATATATATCAGGTATTATGTCCACTTAGATTATGATATGACAGGTTAGCGTGCCGTTTGAAGCTGACAGCACATCTGTTTCATCAGGAAAGATTGATACTGGCATCTAGGACACACATCTCACCATGCAGGAAGGAGATAAAGGAAGAAGCTAGGGGGCTGTCTTTCCTGTCTCCCTGCCTCTCTCACCCTCTCTTTTTTTCTTTCTCCCATTTCGACTTACTCCCCCCTTCTCGCCAAGAAAAACCAACACCTCATGCACACTTGTTCTTCGTTCCCCGTGTCTACTTTTCATCCACGTTTTCCCCCAAACCTCCTTAATGTTTTTCTTGCTTATGGTTGCTTGCGGTGTGTTCCCGACCCAGTGTATGTGCACACACACATAGACGGACACACATCTTGCCCCTGCCCCTAGCTCATGTTCTTCAATATTTGTTCATTTTTACAATGCATTGGTTGTCTACTCCATACTCGTCTTAACACTCACGAGCAGCATGGTCGGAATGACATTGTTTTGTCAGTTTCTGTGCTTATTATCTCAAATGGGAGTGACCTTTAGCTTGGTTGACTGGGTTAGGAAAAGCTGCAATACCTTCCAATTAGTGTTCCCCCCATCACCACATCAGTTGCATTATCTTAACATTTGAGGAGTTGAACTTCGCGGACTGGAGGATTGAGAGGCAACGAAGCTTAGAGAATAGAAAAACAAAGTGTTAAAAAGGGAGTTAGACATGCAAGCATGCAACTGACTAAGAAGGCCAAACAGCCAGTCATTTCCCAGGAAACATGAGGCATGTGTGAAGGAATAGGGAGTTGGGTAGGAAAAGGACAACTGTCAGAAGCGCAGTGATTTATATTTCCCTTGGAGGCTTTTTTCACCGCACGCGTTCAGAACCACATGTGTGTAAAATATAAAGTCATGCATGCATGCATACATGGAGACAGACGTACAGTTGCAGTGGTTCAGAATAAAAGGGCAACATTTTCCACTGAGTCTTAGGTCTGTGTCATTTTTGTTACCTTCAGCGTTAATGTACTGTGAATCTTCGATTTCACTTTGCTAATAGAATTTCTTCTCTCCAATTTTTGTCTCCTGTCTGTCCTACAGCGTACATGCCCGAAGATGAACTTAAGGCGCCCACTCAAGAGGAGGAAGAGCACCTCCAGGATGACGGCCTCTCATTAGATGGCCAGGACACTGAATTTCTGTGCAACGAGGAAGAGGATGATGTGGAAGGAGGCCAACCGCCTAGTTACAGAGACTCTCCCCTCAGCAATGGCACCAACCCCGATGCTGGCTACGGGTCCCCGCTTAGCGATGCCAGTGACAGACTTCCGGACTTCAAAAGTACTTCCTCTCGGGATGGTCACGAGAAGGAAGGTGCAACCTTGCCCTTCTCACCCAACAACGGCCTATCTTTCCAAGATAGCTTGGCTCAGATGAAAGCCGTCTATGCAAACCTCATTTCAGATGCCTCTTGGTCCAGCATTACAATGGATATCATGAAATCCAAGTCTGCTGCAGCTGGCAGTGTAAACAGTACCCTCATCACCTCAGAAGCCGCCTCTTCTGCCCCAGTTTCGACAGCAACGACGACGACCACAAACAAGAGCAACGGGGTCAACATAGTCAGCAGTCATCACAATGGCAGGGGCTCCAGCACCACTGCCAGCCACACTGGCACCACAACCGTTAACACAAATGGCACTGCAGCTGCCGCTGTCAGCATCCAGAACGCAACCGGCAGCGGCGGGAGCAGCAGTGGCGGGACTAACAATGGTAGTGGTGTGGCTTATGACTGGCACCAAGCAGCACTTGCAAAGACTCTTCAGCAGACCCCCTACCATCTTTTACCAGAGCCTAGCCTTTTCAGCACAGTGCAGCTCTACCGTCAAAACAACAAGCTGTATGGCTCCGTCTTCACCGGTGCAAGCAAATTCCGCTGTAAAGATTGTAGCGCTGCCTATGACACCCTGGTTGGTTTGACAGTCCACATGAATGAGACTGGCCACTATCGAGATGACAACAAGGACAAAGAGGAGGATCAGGGAAAGCGCTGGTCCAAGCCCCGCAAACGCTCCCTGATGGAGATGGAAGGCAAAGAGGATGCTCAGAAGGTGCTAAAGTGCATGTACTGTGGCCACTCGTTTGAATCTCTGCAGGATCTCAGCGTTCATATGATCAAGACCAAGCATTACCAGAAAGTGCCTCTCAAAGAACCAGTGCCAGCCTTGGCCACTAAACTGGTGCCCGCATCCACTAAAAAACGAGTAACGCAAGATCCGATAATATCCCCTTGCTCTCCGGAGTCTGTCCATACCGGTGGTGGGGGAGGCAATTTATCACTTGCCGATATTAGCAAAGATGCCAAATCAGCAGCTAATCCCTATGTCACGGCAAACAACCGCTATGGCTACCAGAACGGTGCCAGCTATACATGGCAGTTTGAAGCACGAAAAGCTCAGATCCTGAAATGCATGGAGTGTGGTAGCTCTCATGATACGCTGCAACAGCTTACCGCTCACATGATGGTCACAGGTCACTTTTTGAAGGTCACAAATTCAGCATCCAAGAAAGGGAAGCAACTGGTGTTTGATCCTGTGGTGGAAGAGAAGATTCAATCCATCCCACTGCCGCCTACCACCGCCAGACTCCCTGTACCTGGAAGCATTAAGTCTCAGCCAGTGTCCCCTGCCCTCTCCTCAGGCTCAGAGGAAAAGAGGGAAGCGAGTGAGGATGAGAAAGTTGAAAGTGGGGAGCCAGCGGAGAAAAAAATCAAGGAGGAGAGAGATGACTCGGGTGAGAAAGTTGAGACTGACGCCACATCATATAAATATCTCAGAGAAGAAGATCTGGAGGAGACTCCGAAAGAAGGTCTCGATATTCTTAAATCCCTGGAAAACACGGTGTCAAGCGCCATTAGCAAGGCTCAGACAGGCACTCCCACTTGGGGTGGATACCCGAGCATTCATGCAGCTTATCAGCTGCAAGGTGCAATAAAAAGCTCGACTACTGTTCTGCCCCCCAGCATCCAGAGTGTCCAGATGCAGCCAATGTTTAACAGTGGGCTTCGGGGGCTTGTGAGTGATCCCAGTTCAGTCATCCACTCACCTCGGAGCCCTTCTTCGCCTACTCCACTCAGGAGCAATGTCACTGCCATGGAGGAGCTGGTGGAGAAAGTGACGGGCAAAGCTGCCGCTGTAAAGAAAGAAAAGGAGGAGAAGATGGTGAGCGTGGAGCGGGCCCGGCCCCCTTCGCTGGTCAAGTCCCCCTCTCCTGCACTGAGGGAGCAGAGAGAGCAACTGGCCTCTCCAAATGACCTAATTGCTGGTAAGGCATCTGGTATGAGAAGTACCAGCCCGGGCAGTGTCGAAGCCGAACTTATCTGCAAGAAGGAGCCGAAAGAAAGTCTTGTGAATGTCTACCACAACAATTCAAAGAACGACCCCGAGGCCTGCCAATCGCCGGTGACTAACGGCAACAGTCTCGGCGTCATAACCGATCACTCCCCAGAAAGTCCTTTTATCAATCCTCTCAGTGCACTCCAGTCAATCATGAACACACACCTGGGAAAGGCCTCCAAAACGGTAAGCCCAGCTGCAGACCCGCTGTCCATGCTTTACAAAATCAGTAACAGCATGATGGATAAAAAGCCAGCCTTCAACCCAACACCTCAGGGCAAAACCGCTGAGGCCATCAACCACTTTGCTTTGTATGAAAACAATGACCAACCCATAGACCTGAGTAAAAACAAGTCGAGCACTCACAGTAACAGTAATGCTAACAACAACAACAACAACAACAACAGCAGTAGTGTGGTCAACAATATTGTAAATGGTAACAAGCCTATCGTGAGCATGCCGGAGAGGGTATCCTCTCCTTTGCGAGAGAATGCTCTCATGGACATCTCCGATATGGTCAAAAACCTCACCGGGCGACTGACTCCCAAATCCTCAACGCCCTCCTCCATCTCGGAGAAATCAGACGCTGATGGCAGTGCATTTGAGGACGCCCTCGAGGATCTCTCCCCAGTGCAGAAGAGAAAGGGGAGGCAATCCAACTGGAATCCCCAGCACCTCCTTATCCTGCAGGCACAGTTTGCCTCCAGCTTGCGGGAGACCCCAGAAGGCCGCTACGCCATGACTGACCTGGGCCCTCAGGAAAGGGTCCACATCTGTAAGTTCACTGGCCTCTCCATGACCACCATATCCCACTGGCTGGCTAATGTCAAGTACCAGCTGAGACGGACTGGTGGCACCAAGTTTCTCAAAAACATGGACTCGTGCCAGCCTGTGTTCCTCTGTGGTGACTGTGCCTCCCAGTTCAGGACTCCCTCCTCCTATATCAGCCACCTGGAGTCTCACTTGGGATTCAGCTTGAAGGACCTGTCCAAACTGTCAGCTGAACACCTACGGGAGCAGCAGGCTGCCTCAAAGGTGATCACGGACAAAATGACATTCGGCAGTTCCCTGTCAGCCTTGACTACGCCAGAGGACGACATTGGCTCGGTGTACCAGTGCAGACTTTGCAATCGGACATTCGTCAGCAAACACGCAGTCAAGTTACACCTCAGTAAAACCCATGGCAAGTCTCCCGAGGACCACCTGGTGTTTGTTACAGCTTTGGAGAAACTCGAGAAACTAGACAAAATGGAGTCGGTTTAAGGAGGGTGTTGAGGAGAAGAGACGTTAACAGCTACAGTATGGAACTGACTAGAATTTCATTGCACTAAAACAACATTGTTCACAGTTACTGCACTGGGCCGAACTGAGCCAACAGAAAAAATAAAATAAAAAAATACAAAGTCTTATTTTCTGTTGTAATGATTGCCTGACTGGACCATGTTGATTTGTTTTCATTTTGCCATTTTTTTACACTTATTTCCTAAGATATTTATATGCTGTTTGTCTGATCTGTGCATGTATTTTAGTGAATCAAGGTTAAACAAAAATGATTTCAATATTCTCATGACAAAAATACAACTGCTGTGTCAATGATAAAATTAAAAATGCATTGGAAGAATGGAAATCTGTACTATACTTTGATATGAAGAAGAAAATTAAATGTACACACCAAAAACAATTAAAAATACCCCGAAAGACTGAAGTAGCACCTTAGACTTTTGAATTTTGCGTTTCTAAAAGAATAATAATTATTGGTTCCTGTTATTGAAATGTTTTGAAAAAGAATGGACTGCTTTATTGTATTAAAAAAAAAGGTTATATGAACATTTGGAACAACTGAAATGCTGCTTCCAGTGAGTCAAAAGTGGCCATTTTATGCAAGTTTCCTTAAAAAAAAAATTGAAAAAAATTGTGAACCTATTGGTATATTTACTTTCATTTTTTTTCATTTCAATTTTCCTCTTTTTACCGGTGTTGCTTTCAGCTGTAAAAAGAACATTTGTAAATGATTACCAGTGAAATGTCAGTACTCCCATAAGACATATCTCATCATTTGAAATGACTGCAGTCTTTGTATCTTAAGGCGTGTGCATTCTCTAACTTTTATATTGTCATTTTATGTACTAAAATGATCAAAAACAAACAACAAAAAAAGATTGTGTACATAGATATATGCTGTAGAGTTACACCGTTTTGTTTTTTTTTTTGTTTGTTTTTTTAATGAAAATACAAATGTCAGCTTCTTTGGCTTGGTTTACAGAAATGATTTTAATTATACTTGCATCCGATTTGATGCATGATATGGTGTGGAAAATAAATAAGCGATGCACAATGACTATACATTTCAATGTTTTATCAACAATATTGTAAAAAAAAAAAAAAAAAAAACAACAAAGAAACGTTTTTAGCACCGCTTAGGTTGTTTCTTTTCTTTCTCAGTTGTAAAATAAACCCCAAAGCAGTTGTTAACAGTCATACATTTGTGGTTGTGTGTTCATTTGTCATAACGGTGCATCAAGCTCCAAATGTATATTCAAATGCTCTGTAGCATCCCCTTTGCTGCACATTAAAGCAATCACAGCAAAATCCAGTCCAAGCCCAGTGTAGTACATTTTTTTTCACCCCCTACATTTTCAATTCTTAAATGCTCTTGCTTTTTCTTGTGCAACACATCTACTTTGCTACATTTAAGAGGAAAATAACTGATTACCGAGCTGCAGGATACCACCAATGTTATAGTAATGATGAAGATTACAGGAATGATAAGCCAATGAGAGTGGCGATTGTGCTTCAGAAACTCATGCTCGACTTGTGACTGGCCTTCGGAGGGCCTGCTCTGAAGAGCCATTGTTATATTTATTAATGACAGTAGTGTACTGTAGCCTGTGATCTGATCAGATGGGTGTCTTTGTCAACATCTTGACTAATGACACGAAACCAATGACAAAACAGTTTTTTTTGTTTGTTTGTTTTTTAGGATACACAGAAAACACATTTTTTTTTCGCTCCAAATTTGCTTTGCTCACTTTAATGTGGTTTGAGTGATTATGATTAGGATACTTTACGTGTACTTGAGAACTGTAGTGAATAAACTTTTGATATTCAAAACAGAACTCAAAAGTCATTGGCAAATACTGATGGACTTACTGTGGCTCTTTTCATTCGTTTGTTTTGGTGCAATGCATATATTTTTGGCGAGATCAACCTGAAGTCTGTATAGCTGGTATTCTTTATGAATACGGTACACAGTAATGTGACCAAATGAAGTAAAATTGTGTATTTGGCAGCAAATTTACAATTAATGTCAATTAAAATTCTATGTAATATGTTTTTATTTAACTCATTCAGTACCAGCCAATTTTGGACCAAGTCTGAAAAGACGTTTAAAAAGGTCTTTGGGAGTGAATGAGTTTTAATATGATGCGGGCGGCACGGTGGTCGACTGGTGAGCCTCACAGTGCAGAGGTGCAGGGTTCGATTCCAGCTTCTACCTTCTTGTGTAGCGTTTGCATGGTCTCCTGCGTGGGTTTTCTCTGGGTACTCCAGTTTCCTCCCACATTCCAAAAACGTGCATGACAGGCTGATTGTACACTCCAAATTGTCCCTAGGCGTGAGTGTGAGTGTGTGGATGGTTGTTCGTCTCTGTGTGCCCCGCGATTGGCTGGCAACCGGTTCAGGGTGTCCCCCGCCTACTGCCCGAAGACGGCTGGGATAGGCTCCAACACCCCCCGCGACCCTTCTGAGGATAAAGCGTATCAGAAAATGGATGGATAAATGTTAGATGAATAACTCCCTCAAAGTGTCAGCATTTAAACGGAGTACTTTTATTTAACTAAAATTGTCATACACACACACACACACACACACACACACGGAAATCAATTGTTGCACCATTAATGGTTTGTTGGGCAACTTTTATGGAGCATATACATACAGTGTCGTATCATAAATCTGCCAAGATGGATGGCTGTCTCTTCCCATGCATTTCTGGTCAGGTTGGCTTTTGTTGTGTTTATGCAAGAAGATCTTACAGATGATAAATTCCCAACTCATCCCTCCTGAACAAAACATTGTCACAGTCAAAGTTGTTTACTTTGCAGGTGTCATATTTAAGCCTCTGCTCTCTGAGTGCTCTCTTTGAAACTGGCTCCATCTTTGTTTGAGCGCTACTATTCCATCGCTGCTAACAGTCACAGCAAAATAGGACAAGTAATACATAATATATCTAATTGCTTTTCTTAACTGTGTAAAGCACTGTGGCATATCAATTAGCACGTCTGCCTCACGGTTCTGAGGTTTAGGCAGTGACTCTGAGGTCTACATGGTCTTCTTCAGTGCTTGCGTGGGTTTTCTCCGGGTACTCTGGCTTCCTCCCACAGTACAAAAACCTTTATGTTAAAGACTCTAGTCTAAATAGTCCATAGTTGTGAATTGTCTATGAATGTGCCCAGTGATTGACGGCAGACCAGTTCGAACCCATCGTCAGCAGCCTAATGAGGACAAGGTGCTGTTCAAAGTCAGATCAAAATTCAAACCATCCTGAAGTACTCAACACGCTGAAAAAAAAGGTGTGTTCATCAAATGTTTTCATGAAATAAAAGCATCTGGATTCAGATATATTTTAATTTTGTTTTTTTTAAATCTACTTAAAAATTTGTCTAAATCCGGATGATTGTATTGGCTGCAGCTACTTGTCAAAATGAAATTGAGTTAATTCAACACTTTTTTTTTTTCCAGTGCATCTGATCTTTTGGACAAGGTGAGTAAACATACAGAAAAGGTGCAGAATAAACAAGTGAATGAGTCAGTTTAAATCAATGAGTTTGAAAACAAAGTCGAACATTTGCACATCTGTCCAAGTTTCTCATGTCAGGAGAGATTTCCCCCTGGGGGTCCCTCAAATCATTCACCTTCATCATGAATCAGACATCTAAAGTATTGGTGCCATTTACAGCAGAAATGGGCAACTGGCTGCCCACGCACACTCTGAGTTTTCAATAAAAACGCAAGTAAGCGTAATGATCGTTTGCCGATTTTGAATATCACGCAGGACAAACATAATTCCTGAATCATGTTAACATTTCTTCATTCTTCAATGGACTTTTTTTTATACACATGAGCCCTTTGCACTGGGTAAAAAAAATCCAGTATGTGATGATTTTTTTGATTGTTAAAAGTCTTTTTTTTTTAAACACTCAATTCACTGTATAGCAGTGACTTTATCATTGAGGTTTAGAGAGAGAGAGAGAGAGAGAGAAAGAAAAGGGAATTAGGAACACTGGCCCCCCTATGATTCCCCCCCAAAGTTTGGAGGTTTTTTTCTCGCTGTGTGCTCGTAGGTAAAGCATCAGGATCAGAAATTTGATCCCTCATCACACCCCTGTGTCTCAAGTTTCTACTAGAGTACTTACAGTGGCGGACTGTATGACTGAAAGTGACCTACAGTGTTATGACTTCTATTTCTCACATTCACAACTTGTCTCACATTGGCTCAGTCACACACATGCACTCAAACTACTGCGGCTGTTTTTGTGCAATTACACACATCCGCGATCGAGCTTCACCTCACTTTGTCGATACAGTACAGGGATTCAGCGACAAAGAAAACAGGCAGAGGGCAGATTAGCCTGGATGAAGGATTCGTCTTCCTAAAAAAAGTGCCGCTTGAGTTGGGTTCTAAAACAAATAAGACAGATAAACAAGCAACCTTTGTAGGAGATGGTGTTCACCGCAAAACCGCTGTAGGTTTATTGCACCGCAGCGAAAGCTATAATTTTGCGCTAGCGTCAGATAGCTGCCGAGCAGATACTCTCCTCCGCTGTGTTAGAGATCAGCGCAGTGTTTCCTGTGCGTATTCTATGTAAATTACATGCGATAATCGCCGTGCATGGCACAATGGAGGTTCCCGTGGTGCTAGCGGAAACGGAGAGTAGATAACGTAGCCAGAAAAGATTTGCATAGCCTTTGTGTTTCGGGCGCTGCTGAAAGTGAGCCCTGAGGATTGCGAGGGCTTTCCTCAAGGTTTTGTTTAAGTAAACGCCTTCCTCCTCGCAGGGCTGCAAGCATTATGAACAGTAGACAGCACAGGGCGGGGACAGAGGGCACCAACACAATAAGCAAACTACTCAGTCTGGTGGGAGTCGTAGTCCCTTCACTTCGGTCTGACTCGACCTAGAAAGAACCCAGGTATACTCAGCAGGATACAATGCTACTATTCAGTGCGTTATTGGAGCCAAAGAGCCACGTGATCTGGTCAAGATAAATGTACAAGAAGTGTCACTCCGGTTAATCCGTGTCGGGTCTTTTCTCAGAGGCTCTGAAGCTTTGAGGTGTGCATTATCGTCAATTTGCGTTTGCTCCGAGAAACAGGCGTACACCTTCTGTTTTTCAGTCCTTTGGTTTCATATTCTCTTGCTTCTGGCTTGTATATGATAGCGGCACGATGATCATTGTCACGAGGAAACAAAGACAAAGCTTCCGCTGAGCATCTCGCTGCGTATGTGCAGTCTATAAAAGCTCCAACTTTGCACAGAACCCGGCGCGGTTTTTAATACCCTTCCAAAATGCTTCAAACCAAGCAAACAATGTCTGACAGAGAATCAACAAAGAGAGCAACAACGGCTAAGAGACTTTGTTCTGGATCGGAAACTAAAGTCTGGGAAATCTGTTTGGCTCGTGATATGCTTCACTGTGGAAATTGCATTCAGGGAGAAGTTATCAGTATTCACATGTTCTACCTGCCTCAGTCTATTTTTATGTTGATTTAAGTCCGCTTGTGGACTTGATTCAATTATGCTGCCAAGCCTCACTCTGTAGAATGTGCAGAATCTGTGCACACAGGAGAGGGTCATTTCTATGTTTTTGAGGCAAAAAAAAAATGCCCCATAAGTGTCTTTGAATTCATGTGACTATTTTCTATTGTATTAAACGCGTTGATTAAATACTGAAATGCAACTGAACTGATACAACAGTACCTCAACAGATCCTCATTTAGGAGTTAACATCGAATCATGCAAGAGGCATAATTAACTAATAATTTTACAAAGACTTGAGAGCTTAATCACGATTAAGATGATGCATTTTTGTTAACAATGCTCATTGTAAATCCACAAAATGGAACTTCCAAGGCTGAATTTTTCTCAAGCTGTTCGTCAGACGTAAAATTCTGTACCGCTCAAATGTTACACAAAACTCGGAGGTCAATAGGAAGTTATGTGTCATGACATGCAAGACGACAGCAAATCTTGATGGACACAAGCTCAATGAATGTCTGAAAGATGAACTCCCTTTGTCACCATAGAAATTAATAGTGATGGAAAAAGTAAAAATATGGATATTATCACATAGCCGATAATGGACCTTATGATGTAGAAAACCTTGTCAAATGTCTCTGTCTTTACAATAATGTTGACATTAATTAAAAAAAAAAAAAAAAAGGACTTAAATCACCACCTTTGGGGCCTGGTACCAAGTGGCCCACGGACCCGTACCAGATGGCCGGCCGGGGTTGGGGACCGCTGCTTTAAGCAACAGATACATGAACACAAACAGTGTAGCAACAAATGTAGACAAATATTGTAATTAAT